CCTAAACCGGAAGAACTCAACATCAGCCGACCATTAGAAAAGATCGCTCACAGTAAGAAACAGCCAAGACAATAAAATTATAATGGTCAAAAGAGGACTATCAATCTCCAAATTTTGAAAAGGAGCAAGATGGTTTGCAACCTTCAATTACAGTTGTGCAAATGGTCCTCATTAACAGAACCGTCCAAATCTTTGTCAATTTATCACGTGACCCTTGTGAAAACATGCCTTCATTTAAAATTTCAGCAAGGAATGAAAATCTAGCTTCATTAAGTTGGACATGGGAGGGTCACAAGAAGATTTAACATAGATTTTGAACTGTTTTTTGTCACTGGGGACTAATTGTGCAACTATAATCAAAAGGCCAGGGAACTTGCTACTGTCGGCAAATGGTACTATTTCCCTGTGTAAATACACATTCATTCTTCCCACATACATTGGAGGAAAGGAATACATTTGAGGGAAAAAAACTAATACCGTATCCAGTGAATCGGCACCAAGTGATGCAAACTTGGACTCTCCAGTAATGGCTGAATCAGCAGGGAGTGCTAGTTGTTTCCTCACAATTTCACAAACTTTATCCACTGTCTCGGGTTTCGCCTGCTTCAAAGAATCATTCAGAATTGATAGTTTAACTCAATTTCTTCTCTGATGCGATCAAGCATCAAATGTCACATTGATAGCATCTTAAAAGATACAAAAGATGGTATTGCAAAGAAATATTGTTGATTCACTTTTTGGAATCTCTTCACACGAAAGGGTACGCAGAAGTCTGTGTAATAGTAGGTAGTTGGGGTTTAGGAGTCTTCTTGTAGAAAGTAACTCCCAGAACTGCTTCCCTTCTTTCAGGGAGGACTGACTTTGATTATGCCATAAACGGTGGATTATAATGGCCCCCTTAATTCTTGATTTGAGAGGACACCAAAGATCTCTATAATCAATTGAACTCAGAAAAAGGGATTCCGCATGCAGCAATTTAACCGAAAGCCAAAAGAACAGGTACAAGGATCCCCATTCATCCAATTTATGTAAGGTTAGTGTATAGGATATGAGGTACTGCAGCATAATCAAGGAATTTTGATTCTGTGTTTCCAGATGTTGATTCCAAATGCTATACTAAGCGCATTAAGCTCTCTAATAAGGTGAAAATATTCTAAACATACAAACTGTGATTGAGATTAAACTGGAATGCAACCAACAAGTAGGATGCATGATGATAAAGACTTTCAGTTTAGAACTTCGATCTACTAAAGTTCTGTGTTGGAATATTACTGGTTATTAGCCAAAATTAATGAACAATTATGAGCAAGTCCCAGGTATAATTTTTTGTTATTTCCGTACTCTAGTTCATTCTTGAACAACACTATGGACGGCTTAAAATAACTGCACGACACCATGTCATGCTCAATTACATTATGGAATCCCAGAGTTAACCATTAACACAGCTTGCATTTAAACTCAACCATTTCTAATACAACCTGTATTATTATCAGTAGTAGCATCGTAACAAGAATCCCGAGAAAAACTAAGCAGTAGATAGAAACAAATGTTGAATCTTTGAAGATAATATAAAACAACTATAATCAAAGCATACCGCACAGGCAACGCGGAAACGATGAGGGACTGGTTTGAAGCTTTTTCCACCGAAGGGAACTGAAACTGCCTTCAATTGTGAGACCTGCCCAAGTACAAGACTACAACATAAGAAATACCAGTGCACGAGCACCAATCAAGATTAAGTAAAACAAGAAAAAGATGAAAGAAGTGAACCATAATGTCATTTTAACTTTTCCAAAATTGTAACCAAAAAGTGCTTAAAATTTTGAATGCCGCTTAAAAACTTTCCAAAACACATTTTAATGGCCCCGTTTGAACCACATTAATGTAGGAATCAGAATGAAAAATATAGAGGTCCCACAAAAGATAGAAAGTCAAATATAGTGGCTTGATGTGATGGATAAAGGTCATATTTTTTATTTTAATGCGCAAATAATGGGAAACAAACAGGAGCATAATTTACATTGTACACATGGAAAATCAGATAGACAGTAGGACCTACTGAATCTTTTGAAAAGAGTATGCAATGCAGTACCAAACTGAGAATAATAATAATAATAATAATTTAGCCTCAATTTACTTATAAGAGACAGTTCCCAGTTAATCATAAAATCGTTAGCTTCAAATAAGAATATGTACAGAACTCATAAGATTTTTAGCATTTTGTACCATAAAAACTCAGCACTCAAAAATAAGTAATGCATATTTAAACACGTGCTAATATGTAAACCACTCAAGGTCTAGAGTATGTTTATAATAAAAAATATAATTAAAAGACAACTTTTTAACCAGAAAAGGGATTAGTGCTGTTTAAAAGAATCTAATCTAAAATCGACAACCCCTGGGCCATCATTGAACATCAGATTTCTCATAGCAAAATTATTAAATCACAGAGATTCATACACCAGCTACACAGAATCAAGAAATGACAAAGACCATAATTATACCTGAACGATTTATAACCAAGATCCATAAGCATAAAAATCACACAACCCATTTCAGAAAATCAAGTCTTCATAAAAACAAAACATAAAAATTTTAAGAAACAAGATGATAAATCATAAGGATCAATAAATCACAAATAATATGATTTTAGATTGACTACAGGAAAATTTAACAAGCTTAAAAAAACATTTCCTAAAATCAAATCTTTAATCACAAAAACAAAAAGACAAAAAATGATAATAATACAGCACGAATCAACGAGAAAAAATACCTGGTTTTTCTTGAGAGATGAAGAGAAAGATGAGAAGGAAATGGATGAAGCAGTAACAGAGGCCATTTGAGAGAGATTACTGGATCTCGAAATTGGGAATAGAAAAGTGGAGAATGAGAGAGGAGGGGGCGGAGAACACCAAGTAGGTGATGAGGCGAAGTTTTTTATGTAATAATAAGATAGAAAAAGAGGGAGAGTCTTGTGGTTTTATGGAGCCTAGTTTGAGTCGTTGGTTTGTTGGTGTAATACTTGGTTTGTATCGAAATTTGGAGTGTTTGGGTGTCCAATTTTATTTTTTGGGAGGTGAGGTTTGGAGTTGGTGTTGTGCAATCAATTATCAAGAGTTAGATATATATTGAGAAGAAGCTAATGACAAGTTCTAGATCAAATAGCAATGAAGCCATACAATCATGTGTTCAAGTTATGAAGTCCAAAAGGGTAAAGTTAACAAATTTAAGACCAAGTTTCATACAGAATGGTGAGACTAATAGAGGGAAAAAGTCAAATTTAGTGATATACGAGTGTACACACATGAAGTGATTATTATTCTAAATTTAGGATGTCTGATAAAGACGATTTTATTTCAAACAGGAAGAATAGTTAAGTTGTCATGATGGAGGAGATGATACGACGATTTGAGAGGCTGTTTGGGGATATGGGAGATAAAATGGATAGGCAAAAGACGTAGATGGAAAGGTAAAACATATTGCTTGCTAGTTTGCATACGGAACAATCTAGAGAAGTTTCTAACACAAGGAGGCAAGGTAGGCGAGATCCTAGAGCGGATATTGGAGGTAAAAATGAAGTGGGTAGTGGAATTGATAAAGATGCATTAGTGGAGGCAGAAATAGAAAGGATGAAGAATAGAAGAGATAGGCATGATAGTAGGGTTAACGATTATGTTGGAGATGCGGTTGATAGAAATATGAATAACGTTAAAATGATAATTCCATTATTCAAATGTTTAAGCGATCCGGAGCCATATTTGGAGTGGGAGAAGATAGAGTAATATTTGATTGCCTAACTACTCATAGAAGTAAAAGGAAAAACTTGTTATCATTGAGTTTACTTATTATGCTATCATTTGGTGAGATCAAATAGCAACATCTAGGAGGAGAAATCATGACAGACCTATTGAAACATGAGGAGAGTTTAAGACTATTATGATGAAGAGGTTCGCTCCTAATCATTAATATAGAAAGCTTTGTCAAAAATTACAGCGCCTTCATCAAGGATGTAGATGTGTATAGGATTATCACAAGGAGATTGAGATTGTCATGATTAGAGCGAAAGTTGAGAAGGGTCGAGAGGCCACCATGACCTAAATTTTGAATAGTTTAAATAGGGATATAGCTAATGTGATAGAACTACAACATTATGTGGAGTTAGAGGATATACTACATGCAGTTATAAAAGTGGAGAGACATTTGAAGAGGAAGCGAACAACTAGATATTCATTGCGTTCTTCGAGTTCTAACCTTTCTTAGAAATTGAAGTGGGATGATAATAGATGAAATGGGACTATTTCAAGTGGTAAGACTAAACTGTCAAGAGGAAAGGAGGAAGTTGCTAGCAAAGTTACACTCAAGGTTGATTCATAAACTTCTAGTAATTTGGATATCAAATACTTTAGATGTTTGAAATCAAGGCACATTACTTATTAATGTCCAAATAAAATGGCAATAATCTTGCATGATAATGGGGAAGTAATGAGTGATAGTGGCGGAGATGAGATGCCTGAATTAGAGGATACTAGTGATGGTGATGGAGTAGAGTACTCGGTTGTGGGGAAAATATTTGTGGTGATGCGTGCTCTCAATATACAAATCAAAATGGACGATGTAGAGCAACAACGGGAGAACATCTTTTATACTAGATGCCATGTCAAAAATAAGTTATGTAGTTTGATTGTTGATATGGTTGTTGTACTCATATTGTTAATACTATACTTGTTGAGAAATTAGGATTGACTGTGATAAAACATCTTAAGCCTTATAAGCTCCTGTTTAGCCCCCATTTTTTTTCAAATTATAATGAGTAGAATAGTATTTTCTGAAGAATGCGTGATTAAAAAAAAAAGAAAAAGTTTTCGATTTATATGTAATATAATTTTATGGAAGATTGTGTGGTTGAAATAGAAGAGAGGAAAATAAAATTTAATTTAATAATCAAACGGGGGCTAAATTGCAATAATTAAATGAATGTGGAGAGGTTAGTGTATGTAAGCAAGATTTGGTAAACTTCTTGATTGGGAGGTATAGTGATAATGTGATGTATGATGTAGTACATTTTATTGGGAAGATCATGACAGTATGATAGAAAGGTGAAAACGTCATGGATTCAAGAATAGGTACAACTTTGTAATATATGGGAGACTTGTTACTCTTATACCCTTAACACCACAATGGGTATACGAGGGCTAATTAAAATTGAAAGGCGAGAAAGAAAAGAAAAACAAAGAGAGGCAAAAGGAGAGTTGGAGAGAAGATTGTGAACTGACTAATTGTGAGGAAAAAAGAGCACAGGTACAAGAGAGAAAATAGGAAAATCTCTTGAGAGGAGTCATGAGAGAAAAAGCTAAAGTGAGATTCTATGCAAAAACAAGTAAGATTGAGAGTGCTTTAGTGAGAACTAACAAGCCCCTCCCAAATTTGAATATTTCTTTATTACGGAAATTCAAATACTTGTTTCATAAAGACTTGATTAGTGAGATACCAACCATTGAATATCCAGTTGATTTGATTAAGTGGAGAATTTGATTAGCGTTGAAGGAAAAGTATTCAACTATGACATTGTAAATTATCAATACCCTATACATGGTTTAGATGATGGTCTAGTATGTAGAAATAATTTTTCAAATGGGGCATGCACTTTTACACATATTATTGCATCTAAAATTTCTATGAGAATAATCAATCATTTTTCACATGCGTTTATAAGCAATCATTTACTAGTTTATGATATTTTAGTATGTTGCAAAAACATAATTGAGCATGATGGACAATTGGGATACATTGTTGGTTATTTGAGGCATGAGGATATATGTTTCAATCTTAAAATCCTTAAGTGTTTTAGTACTAATTTATGGAATATGTTGAGAACAAATTTGGTATCCTCTACTATTTCTACTACACGTTTTGACATGTTATGATTTAAATCCACTAACTTTGTTTAGTTTAATTACTTTAAATAATATTGTAAGTGGTAGTTTAGAAAAAAAAAAAAGCATGGAATTGAATTATATGCATCTCAAGGTAGCGAAGAGAAAAGGAGTAAAGTATTCAAACAAAGTGATTGAGTTTGTGTGCTTAGGCAAAAATGACCTGTTAAAATGCAAAAGAGGTCGATGATTCATCCTAGAGGAGTTGGACCACTCCATGTCATTGCAAGAATTGAAAAAAAATGGCTACAATTTGGATCTTCAAGGTAAGTTTGTGATAATTTGCATTTTCAATGTTTCTTATCTTGCTTTATTTAATGTAGGTACAGATTTGAGATCGAATCTTTTCAAAAATGGAGTGAATGATGGGTTCCAAGGAAGACTACCAGCTATTAAAAGTTCAATATATATTAAGAAGAGGCTAAGGGGAAGTTCGATATCAAATAGAGTCAATAAAGCCATACAATCCTATGTTCAAGCTGCGGAGTCCAAAAGGGCGAAGTAACAAGCCTAAGACCAAGTTTCATGTTAGGCATGAGAGCGGAAACATGAATCAAAAACTCAAACTTGGAGGCATGACTGACAGTACCCACATAGCACAAACCTGGGTGTAGTCGCATGTACCTATACTGAGATCAAGATGAGGAATGTGAATGATCTATGTGACCACAAGCAGTAAGCGTATGTGACCACACATTACAAAATTGGGACGCGATTTTCGCCTAGACTTCTATTTTAGTTAAAACTCTTTTTATGGTATCTTTTTGATATATTTTAGGTTTAATTCTATTTTTAATTAGGTTTTATGAGTTCTTCATAAATAGGACTCATTCTATTTATTTTACAACACACAATTTGAGAGATATGTTAGATATTTTTCATTATTTTGCATGTATTTATTTCTGTTTTGCGAATGATTTGCTGCCTCAACTAGTGTTTGCCACTGCACAACGAGGATCGACCTGTTCGATGGATGTGTTCGATTTTTAACAGTCACCTCCAGTAAATATATGCAAGGATTTCAAGGGACACACATATTCAAACGGTTGCCTCAATTTCTATAAATTCTGGGCGAATTCTCGTTTGCAAAACACATTAAAAAATTTATTCTTCTTTATTTCTCTTGGCATCAATCAGTTATTTTCGAGCGTCTTCTTGGTTTAATCAAATAGGTACAATTTGAATCAAACGTCTCCATTGTATCCTGAGAGAGATTTTTTATCATACCTCAATTGTAACTTTGTTGGATAGGGGATTAACATCTCTTAAAAGATAACGTTTTTTCGTGCCTTGGAGTTTATTAAGTATTCATATTTCCCTACATTTTTCTCAACAAGATAATATTGCAAGGTATATTGCTTTTAACTCCTTCATTGAATTAATTTTAAACTTATCAATGATTAATTTCTTATGGCGTTCAACAATTCAAGTAGTATTCGTAAATTTTGTGATCACGGGGTCAAGATATTGTTTGTTGTCTTGATTCTTTAGTTCAATAATTTATTGGGTCGAACTTTTCGGACATTGATTCTTGACTTTCTTGGATTTGATCTAATTTGTCGTCAGTTTTGCAGCTACAATTACTATGTTGGTTCACATCAGTTGGAGTTGGGGCAAAATAGAAACTTTCTTACGTTGTCCCCCCGGTCATTTACTTTAGAAGTGTTAACATGGATGACAAATGTTGAGTTTTACCCAAAAAAAGAATATTTCTATTTGTACAGAATATCGTTCCACAAAATTCTGCCAAAAATCTCATATGTGTGGGACCCATGTTGTGATAAAAAATGCCAAAAAATTCCCCTGCCCAACCCCCTGCTGTGCCTGTTCTATATGGCTTCTGTATGTGCAATTTTTGTGTCTTGACCTAGTTCCCATTGAGTTATACCGGTTAAGTCAAGCCTTAGCCTTACATTTGGAATGGTCGAGTCTAATCTTGATTATCTTACCCCTTTATTCATAGTTTAAATTAGGATTTGATATTTTTTTTTTTCATTCTAATTTTTAGCGCCTATTTGATGTAGCTTAAAAAGTTAATAAAAATTTAACTTAAAATTAATAATTAATTTTAACTGTATATTTCATGATATTCACAATTTTTATCATTTTTTTAATTTCACATTTTATTAATTTGTATCAAAATCTA